ACCCCTCCTAGGTCCACTTCCTCTGCAGAATTTCAGTCCATGAGATACTACCTCGTTTTCCTCCGAAAACCTTTAAAATTTGCTTTCCCAACATTTAGGGTCCGTGTAGGCTAGACTTGAATTTCTTCTCTATAACAAATTCAAGGAAGGAGTGGTCACTGCGTCTCAGGGTTCTCATGATTTCTATCCTAGCAAACACTTCTTCCCTATTAATGAGAATCAGATCTGGAGAAGAATTTCTCCTTGTTGATTCCTCCGCCTCTTGAAAGATGGAATTATCACTAAGGCAAGTCAGAAGTTATTAGCTGCTCTGCATCTAGCACATGTGAATGTGGACATGAACATACACACACACACACACACACACACAAAGAGTGAGCTTCAGGAGAAAATAATAATAGTAACAGCTAGCATTTATATAGCACTTAAAGCTTTGCAAAGTGTTTTACATACATTATCTTATTTGAGCCTCGCTCCAACTCTATGGCTAGGTGTTATTATTATCCCCATGTGGAAACTAAGGCAAAGAGAGGTTAAGTGACTTCCCCAGTGCTGCACAGCTGGAAAGTCTCGGAGGCAGAATTCATACTCTATCCACTGTGTCACCTCATGATGTCCGCCTGGATAATTGAAGTTCTCCATCACTGCTTTTGCGCCAGCCTAGTGATTTGTTTCCCAAACTCCTCGTTTATTTCCTCTTTTTAGTCATGGAATCTGTAGCATGTTGCAGTAACAAAATTATTTCTGGTGCTTCCTCCATTGACCATTTTTGGTCATGTTCTGTCCCACCTCTTGTTCCTTGGATCTCCTCCCATGAGTAAACCTTCTTAATATACAATGAGTCCCTCCCTCTTTCAGCTATCCTGTTTCTTCTGACTAAGATATACTTTTCCTAAGCCAGAAACCAGTCACGGGCTTCATCCCACCAAGTTTCAGTGATCCCGATGAGGTCCAGTGGCCTCCTTGTAGTTGAACTTCTTTTTTTTTAATTTTTTTTTCAGTTGAACTTCTTATACCTCATGTTTGTTGCTTAAATTTTGAGCATTTGTGGAGAGACCTCCGAGTCCGTGAGTTGTATTACTGGTTCCTTTTCTCCACCAAAAATGGATGTGAAATATTTCACCAAAATAAACAGGACAACTTTGTGTGAACTGATGTCTGTTCTTTTTATTGGCTAGCTAAAGTACTGTCAATACCCTACAAAGGTGGGCTGTACTTTCTGGAGTTAACTTGTAACCCAAGTGGGGGAGGAGGCCTCACCAACTTTGTCCTGCAGCTCACTTGCTCCTGTAGCACTGTCCTGTTTGAACTGCTGAGCTTGACCGCTGTTGGTTCCCAGGTAACCCCTCTAATCTGTTTTGCTGTCTTTGTTTTGTCAACCTGACTTAGAGGCCTCTCTCTCTGGTGCTGACCTTATCTCAGCCTCACTCTACAGCTCCCTATGCCTGTCTCCATACCTCTGAACCTGGCTTCATGACCTGACCTTAACGACTGATTACACATGTATAACTTCCCCTACTATTTTATTGGTAGTTTTGTTTGTAGTACCCTGATTATGATTAACCTAGTTACGGTGATTTAGCAGGAAAAGGATTAGTTTCCTACCACTTCGATATCTTATTATTCATGCCAAAAATGAAAGAGTAGAGCCGGGGTAGGGAACCTGTGGCCTCAAGGCCACATATGACCTTCTAGGTCCTTGGGTGTGGCCTTTTGACTGAGTCCAAGTTTTACAGAACAAATCCTTTTATTAAGGGGATTTGTTCTGTGAAGCTTGGATTGAATCAAAGGGCCTCACTTGAGGACCTAGAGGGCCACATGTTACCTCAAGGTCACAGGTTCCCCACCCTTGGATAGAGTCTAGTCAATAAGCATTTATTTCTCATCAGCTATGTGCCATGGAGTGTACGAAGTGCTAGGAATACAAAGGTCAAAAAAAAAATCATTCCTGCTCCTAAGGAGCTTATAGACTAATAGAATAGACAAGGTTTTAATACAGGACCAACGTTAGATTATCAGGTTAGAGACAGGAGGGAACGTAGAGGTCATCTCACCCAACCCCTTAACTTTACAGTTGAAAAATCTGAAGGGGGGCAGCTAGGTGGCGCAGTGGATAGAGCACCGGCCCTGAAGTCAGAAGGACCTGAGTTCAAATCCAGCCTCAGACCAAACACTTGACACGTACTAGCTGTGTGACCTTGGGCAAGTCACTTAACCCCGATTGCCTTACTAAAAAAAAAAAAAGAAAAGAAAAGAAAAAGAAAAATCTGAAGGAAGCCTAAGGAGGTTAAAACATTAGTACCATGAAACCATTTCCTGAACCATGTGGAACCCTTCCATGAGCCACACTTTGAAAACTCTTCTTCATGAACTATTTGCACCTAACAAACTGACCTACTAGCTCTTCCCCCATGTACTACAGTTCATCCTCCCCTTTGTTGGGTGCCTTTGAACAAATGTTCCCTTCTCCCCATGTCTGGAATGTCCTCTCTCCTCGTCTCCACCTCATGGAATCACTAGCTTCCCTTCAAAGCATGGCTCCAAAGCCATCTCCTAAATGAGGCCTTTTCTGATCTGCCTCGAAGTCATTATCACAATTTCTTTTCTTGGAATTACTCTGTAGGTAGTCTGTATTGACTTACACGCTTGTAATCTTGCAATGGAATATAAGCTTGTTGAGGGTGGAGATTGTTTTGTTTTTGTCTTTGTGTCACCAGTGACTCATATGGTGACTTTCACATATTAGGAACTTGAACAAATGTTTGTTGAATTGAACTGAACCACTGAATTTCATCATCCTGTGTGGGGACTTCCTCCATCCCTCTGTCTACTGTGGCCAAAAAATTCATCAGCCAACCCCCAACGTGGTAATGAGACCCTCCGCAATTCATTCAGCTGGCCTTTAGACAGCAGGCATTCTAATAGAATGGAAACTCCTTGAGGACAGGGATTGTTTCGATTTTGTCTTTGTATCCCACAGTGCCTAGCACCTAGTAATCACTTAATAAATGCTTTCAATTGATTGATTAATTGAGACAAGTCCATTGATAGGTCCACACCAGAAGCCTTTACAGCTTGTTAGGCCCTACCAAATTTTTTACTCTACTATACAGTTCTCAATGCCCTGAGTGACCTCCATGCCAGAATGAGGCATTAAAGGACTTATGTGAAGATTCATATTAAGAAAAAGAAAAAGTCTTTTTTTAAAAAAGTTGACATTGATTTTTAAGTCACACATAGTTAACTGAGATGCAAAGTTCAGAAAATAATTCAGTTAAAAAGCCAAACAAGATGAGGAGTTGAAAGGCTTTGAGTTTCTTTAAGTTATTAAATTCCTAGGAAAATGATGCCTCAGCATCTACATAGTGCATTACTTTTCATATTCCCGTATTTCCATCCAGAATAGCATTTCTCCCCAACAGGAGCAGGAGAAGAGGAAATTTGTCCTGACTCTAGCACATTCTCATTATTTTTCACTGCTTTTCATCTTTACCTATGGAGATCAGAAACAATTGAGTAACTGAGGTTATTAGTGAGAGGGTTAGCTCAATCTCCTACTGCTGTCCGTTTGCACAGGCCTGGAAATGCCCTCCCTTCTTCCCCTCATTTCTTAGAATATCTAACTTCCTTCTGGGTTCTAATCATGCGCCGTCTCCTATGGGAAGACTTTCCCATCTCCTTAGTCATTAGGGCTGTCTCCTTCCTCCTTAAATCATATATATATATATACACATACACATACATATACATATACATACACACACACACATACATACACATGATACATTATTATATGTAAACACACACATATACATATATGTGTATTGTGTATCTATATACATACACACACACAAATACTACACACAAAGGTCAGAAGGTGGGGGAACCAAACAACCATAGATAGATAGATACTTAACTGTTTATGTATTTAATTCCCTCTATAGAATATAAGCATCTTGAGGACAGAAACTATTTCTGTTGGTTTGACTTTGTATCTATCCCCAAGGTAAAATGTAGCATCTCACTTATAGAAGGTACTTGATTAATCCTTGTCAGATTAGATCAGACTGAGCTGGTCTGGATTTAGTGTGTTTAGCCTAAAGGAATTATCATGCCTAGATTTAGCATTTCATGAACTCTTCAGAGTCTCTGATAATCTAACAAGGGATAACTGCAGAGTTAAGAACTAACTGGGAGTCAGTTCTTTAAGCCCCCTTAGCTGCTGGGGATCCAGCCTTATAAAAGGCCTCTGAAGAGCAGCTATGAGGGGAGCAGTCTCCCATTTCTGATACAGCCTCAGAGGGTTCAGTGAACGACTTTGCCCATAGATGGGCAGAGATCACAACATCTGTGCCTCTTCTAAACTAAAAAGAGTGAACTCAGCCTATGCTTTCCCTGAATCATCAATTGTTTTTAAAAGCTTGAAATGAAGGGGAGTATGGGATGAGGAACCAAAATAGGGAGAGGCCCCTGAGAAGCAAGAAGTGAGAAAATAACAATGGTCCGAAGAGCTTACTCCTAAGATCATGCGGGTCTTTCTAGCTTGTATCTTTTTACTTCCCAATTTATCATTTTTCAAACCTCCCAATCACCATCTCTTTCTACTACTACCTAGTACTAAGGAAATGAGCAAAAGAGTAACCCAACCATTTGCTCTTGATTCAAGGGCTACATAAATCCTTAACTTCCACTAGGTTGGGGGAAAACCCCGAAACAACCTCACATAATCCACATCAGCACCAGCGAGACTCACGGGGGATCATAGATCCAAAGCTAGAAGGTCCTTCAGAAGCCATCTAGTCCATTTTACAGATGAGGAAATAGTTGAGGTCTAGAGAGGATAAGTGGCTTGACTACACACATGAGTAGTAAGTGGAAGAGTCATGATTCAGAGCTAATTCCTCCAACTCAAAATCCATCTCCTTTTCTACTATACCACATAGTACTTATGAAAATGTACATATCCTACTTAAAGCCATTTACTTATTGACTCTACTTACCATTTCAGAAGGGCTAAGAGAACCAGGACCAGAGCCACTGTCACCATGGTGCCATTCACTTCCAATTTGAAGAATTCCAGGAATTCCATTGTTCTTCAACCTCAGCAGAAGAGAGATCATAGATGGGTTGTTGTCGGAGGCTGGGAGACAGGCAGGTTGTGGACCCCCTCTAAAGGAAAGAGTGCCTCAAAGTTCTTTCAACAGTTACCAGAATGGCAGTCTGCCATCAAGGCAGAAACAGATAAACAAGACTACGTCAAGTCAACTTTGTTCCAAGATGTGGTGTCAGAATGTCTCCCTTCTTCTAAAGAGGAAGGAAGGGGAGGGAAAAGAAAGGGTTTCAGTGTAAGGCAATGAATCAGCATCTCTCTCTATTCTCTTGATGACTGTCCTATAAGTAAATATTTACATAGCTCTTCTGGGAGGCAGACGCAACACAATATTCACATCTACAGACCATAGTCATGAATGCCTAGACTGGTGGGCAATCAGCAAAAGGAAGGGTCCTGAGGTGCTCCCCAATAGCCTGGTAGAATTTTGTGACAGTTATAGGCTCTGTATTGCTGATGAATAGCTTTGGAGGTGTGTAGGAATTCTTGTAATACTCTCATTGTCAGTCCATAGCACTGTTTTGGCTCTAGGAAGTATCAAAGACAGTAGCATACTGGTCTGGCTCGTACTGGCTTGACAAAGCCAATTGTTAAACGTTTAAGGGGAGCATTTATACATTGGAAATTGGCAAATGCTACAAATCAGGGCTTGACTTATTATATTACTGACTGTTTAGACTTAAGAAAGTGATAGAGAAGACGTTAACAGTGTAGATTAAACTGAAAGACATGTTGTGCATGCATTTCTCCTCCCCCCTGGCCAGAGCTGGTTGTCAAACATTTACCAGCACACACCTAGTCCAAGGTCACTTGCGGGTGGTCATAAGATTTAGAAATGGTAGGCACCTTGAAAGCCATCTAGTACAAGCCACTCATTTTGCAGGTGAGAAACTGAGTCACTGAGAGGGGAAGGGACTTGCCCAATATCACAGAAAGACTGAGTAGAGAAGTTGGGATCCAAACCCAGATCTCCCAATTCTAAACTGAATCCTTTATCCACTTCACCATGCTTGAGTTTATCAATGATTATCTCCATAGCTCCGTATGATGCAGAAGTTTCTCAGGTGTCTAAAAACATATCCATAGACCGTAAGTTCTTGCATTCTTGGATGTGGCTATGTAGGACAGATTGATCAACATTGGACTTATCACCTGACTCCTAACTTTCCTCCATTTGTGATGGGGAAAGAACTAATTAAGATACCACCACTGTGAGATGAACAATGATGGCTGCAGGACCATTTATTCATTCAAATGTTTAAGTAACTACTATATGCAGAGCACTATTCTATCCCAAAGCAAGGTTGTGAACCGGGAAAAATTGGTCTTAAGCACTCCTCACCAACCCTTTCAATACACCTCCCTCTCTGCTATGAATAGCCCTACTCCTAGGTGCCCAGAACCTTTGTGCTATCCCTTAGCTGCCTGGGGCCCCTCACCCATTGTGGCAACTCAACGTGAACTTGCCTTTTTCACACAAGGTTCCATGCAGAAGGCCTTTCTGACTCCCCATCCTCCCTAAATCTGCACCTGCCTCCCCATATTCCATCCCCTCAGGGCCCTGCCTATTGCTCAGTAACAAGAAAGTAATCTGATAAAACTAATTTGTACCACACCAATGGAAGCTGATGGGTTAATATATCAACTTTCATGTAGCACATGTGCAGTTTCTGGGACCACAATGCCTTAACCTAAACAAGTGACTGTGATGGTGAGAATTCCAGGCTCTATGGTAAGCTAGTGGTGGGAATAATCATAGTGTCACAAATCCAGGAGGAACCTTAGTTCAATCTAGATACACTCTAGGATCAGGGGTGGGGAACCTGGGGCCTCAAGGCCACATGTGGCCCTCTAGACCCTCAAGAGAGGCCCTTTGACTGAATCCAAACTTCACAGAACAAATCCTAGGGGGTTCAGTCAAAGGGCCACACTTGAGGGTCTAGAGGGCCACATGTGGCCTTGAGGCCCCAGGTTCCCCACCCCTGCCTAGGTAATGTGGTTTGCCTATAGCCACACAACTAGTGAGTGGCTCAATCTGAACCAGAACCCAGGTTTCCCAAATCCTAGTTCCTTGCTCTTTGAAGTATATCACAATACCTCTTTGACTTGGGGTAGGGAAAAGGAGGAAGGCTTTTTATTTTCAGATCAAATCATAAAGTATCCTTCCACTTCACTAGGCCAGCCTTGATCATGGAGTAGCCTTAGGATCTTGGTGAACTTAGAGGGATGGTAGATTTTCTTAGTAGCTGTGGGAGCTCAGAGGCATTAATGTTGTTGAATGGTTGCTCAAGATCAATGAAAACAATTTTGAGGTCCTGATACCATTCTCTACCCTTTTTCTGTATCTAAGGCAGGGGAATGATAATATCCATTGTACTGCAGTTTAAGACCTCATTATTATTCTGGGAATGTCTGTTGGCTCTTGAATATCAATCCAGGGTACTTGTGGCCAGGAGTTCACCAGTGTTGCTTGGAAATATCATGATATTTACCAGTCAATTTTTTTTAACTTCTTGAAGACAAAAATGATAGTGGGATCTTTGAAATTTTGTAGTTATTTTCTCAATGTTTCTCACTGCAAGAAAAAGCCTTTTGGAATATCTCATCAGGGGTGACGTTAGGACCTAGAACTGTCATTAGGGACTGGTTTCCTCTTCCCTTTACAACCCTCAGCTCCGTGAGTCTATCTTCTTATAGGCCTAGGTAGTTAGGATAGAGACAGTCTTAGGTCCTTATACCTCATGTATCAATCCACAAAGCAGTGCTCATCACCAACCTAGAACCTGCTAATGGTTCATTTCATTAACCTAAGACTACCCCTAAAGACTCAAGTCTCCACTAACTATACAGACCAGCAGGCTTTTATAATAGGACCAAAGGCGTGCTGGAGGGAGCCAGCCATTCAAGAACCCATTGCTAAATTTTCAGTGTGAGCACTTATACCTCAAAAATTGGCAAACTATGGGGCAGCTAGGTGGTGCAGTGGATAGAGCACTGGCCCTGGATTCAGAAGGCCCTGAGTTCAAATCTGGCCTCAGACACATAACACTTACTAGCTGTGTGACCCTGGGCAAGTCACTTAACCCCATTGCCTAGCCCCCCCCCCAAAATGGGCAAACTACAAATCAGGGCTTGAGTCATTATTTCGTTGAATGTGCAGACTTAAGAAAGTGATAGAGAAAATGTTAGTAATATAGATTTAACTTCCAAGCGTGTCCTTCTTGAGCCAGTTGTAACACATTTGCCAGCACTCCCCTGAATAGGACCCTGCTTTCTGGGGAACAGAGAGGGCATGTTGACCTAGCTCCAGGCCACTGACTGTAGTCCCTGACCAACTTGGTAATGCAGGTTTCCCTCCACAAGGTAAGAGAAGTTAGTTCACTCATAGCTGAAAAAGAAACTTGTCTCATAAAAGGCAAATTCCAGCAAATAACAAAGACCAGATTTGTGCTGAGACAATAGGTTCACTGAAGGGACGAGCAACAATGAGTGGGATGCAGATGCTGGCTTTTCTAAACATGGGTCATCTTGTTGGGAGTTGTCACTAGACAGGGCCCCAAGACAAGCAGCCCTGCCTACATGGTGCTCAGTGATCAGAGCTGTGGCTACCTGTGTAGACCAGGCTTCAGTGCAATGAGTAGTTTGGAGAATAGCCCATTGTTCTCTAAAGCCAGGTAAACTGGAAGAGTGGGGCCTTTATCCCTCCATTATATCTCAGACAGCAGTAGTAACTTCTTCAAAGATTTCAGCAGATACCAAAAGTCTTCTCATCTCGGTGGACTTTCTATGATTTAAAGGGCTTCATCTTCCACCACAAGGCATAGAAGAAATCCTCCCAATTTATGAGTTTGCAATCTAAGGTTTGAAAGGATTATGGCAGATTCCACCAGCCCATGGTCATGAGGTTTGCTTTATAAACTCCTTAAAGCACAAGGTCACTAGGCCAAATGTGGAATAGGATGGGAGTAGCTAATGGGTGGGTACACATTGTTTTACTCTCTTGTGCCCTTGTCAGGATTTGAGAATGGCTATTCCTCTGGTCATTAGAGTGATGACACCTAGAGAAGTCAGGGGGTCTGTCTGGGGTTGCTAGTTCAGATATGCAGTATGCAAAGATCAGATGTGCATCATGCTGGCCTCTGTCAGGATGTAGTTAGGATCTCTCAGAGACACCACGTGAATTTTACCTCTACCTATGAAAACTATTCAGAAAGTTATCTTCAAGGAAAGCTACTCATCAATTGAATGTCCACCAGATGAAAATTGTTCAGGCTATCTAATGTTAAAATACTGTGAAAACTAGACACATCTCAAATTTTCATCTCTAGCAATATTCTTTTGTTAAGAGGACCTTAATATTTATGAGCCCTTTTCCTGCCCTCAGCCCCATATGGCAGAAGATCAATATCCACCATTTCCTTGGTGGCATTCTCTGACATGGCCAGGACCTGTACATAACATGCCATAATAATCATGGATATGCAAGATGTAGCCCAAGGAATGTACATGCCACATGCCCTCTTAATTGACCTCGCCAGGAGGAAAGCATTGCAAAAGAGTACAAATACATAGTAGAAACTGAGACCAGCACAACTGTACCATCTTACTCCTTTTCTCTCCCTTTACATTTGTTTGCTATCTGACAACAGTGGTGAAGATCAATCTAGTATCCAAACTAACAATGGAAACCCTTATAATCTTTGCCTTTCAGTGCTGGCTATATAGAAAAAATGCCTGCATTTTCCTTGGACATACTGATTTAGCTGTTGCCTTCCCACCCCTGCAGCCTGGCTGCCCTGTCTTCTCTTTTGTGTTGCCAAGGACTAATTTGGAAGGCTGCAAACTCTGATCTCCACCTCCTTTAACTAAGTCTTCCCAGGCCAATGTAGTTTCTTCAGTTTAGACTAGTGTCTTCTTGTCTGGCTCACATCAGGAGAACGGAGAAGAGAAGAGGAGGGCACATGCATTCTAATTTGGGTCTCCTAGGTTAGGAGGAGGAGAGAAAGGGGCAGAGGGAAGAATAGATACATGCAGGGGTCTCCCTGCGCCAACCCCTGCCTCTCTCAGTGTGAATTTTTTAGCCAGTGTGATGAGACAAAAACAAGGCAGGTAATACTATGTAGGAAATCAATATTTGTATATAGTTATCCCTTCCATATCACAATTTTCCCCATCATGGTTTCC